GTCGGTGTCTGCTTCATGGATTATTTTTTCTGATATCATATCATCTTGTGATCCATCAGGGTTGTGTGCAATCGCTGTCACAAGGAACGATTTGATGATGACATCGGTTGAAACTGCTGCCCAAGAACGACTAACCCAATCGAGGACAGGACGTCTTGTCTTGTCGGCTGCTTCAGGTTGTCCTTCGCTGTTCGCTCGTCTTTTTCATGTAGTACCCACTCCCGACGTAGATTATCCTTGAAAGGCTTATTAACGTTAACATCCATCGACTGGACTATTGATGTACAGCCCGCTGGTATGAACACCAAATCCGTGTCGCAATCTTCAGCTGCCGATCTCGCCTGGGTGGTCATATGCTGTCTTGCTCGATCGATAACAAGCATGCGGTTGACGTCATCATTATTTGGACCCCAGCACCGATTATACCAAGTAACCATTTTCTCTGATGTCATCCACTCATTAGGTGTTGCTGTTATGCGAACATTGTCAGGGATAGTCAAGTTCGCCATGACCCTAGGACCCATCTTACCATTGTTTTCTCTGTAAACAAGTAACGAAAATGTCCCAATGAATAAAACACATTTCACGTCACACACTAAATAATCAATCATAAATGGAGCATTACGTCAGTCGTATATGTATTGTCGTATTTGAAATGCGAGTTGTGGTAAACCAACACAGTAAAAAAAAAGAGAACTAGTGTATCATAGCCTACAAATGCGAGATCGTTGTGTTAAAAAATATCCATGGTTTGTACATTTATTAAAACCTGAAATTACTACCTGAAAATGACAAATGCGAGATCTTTGTGTCCACTAGCACGTGCTGAGAGACACACTGTAAAACCTTTCTTCTTCGCTCCCGTGGATGCAATCCTGATCTTCCTTTCGCCACATACGTTGTTGGTCGATGTTGGCGCAAAGTCAAATCTTACCATGGTTTCATCCATGTTCCCGATATTGTATACAGTGTAGTTATTTTCTCGACGAAGGTGTTTGATAGATGTTGTAAATGCCTCGATATGCTCTTTATAGTCTTCTGGTAGTTTTTGACTGTCGTTTGTACCTGAAAAAAACATAAGTGCACGGTAATAATTGAATACAATTGATTTAAAATGATTGACAAATACCGTAAAATATTTTGGCTTCGGAATATTTTCTAATCGAAGATCTATTCTTACCTTTTTTGATTCCAACATTAAACACTCCAAAAAGAGAACTACCGTAACAAACACACTATTTAAATAAATCAAACGTGTTCGTTTTTGACAAATAAAACTTTATTGTTGACACCGTTTTTGGTTAAAAATCACCCTGGGCGTTTAACAGAGGATGTCCCCAACATGTAACTTTTGTGAAAACAGGGGGTGGGCGCTTGCCCAGGCAGGAGTGCTTGCCCGGGGTAATACTGTATTTTAGAACTATATTGAAGGGGGACCAGCTAAGAATTAGGTGAAGTCACAACTTGACACCCCGTAGACACCTTGCGTCAGGCCGCCATCCCCCTTTGCCTCTCGGTAATTGATAACCGGTAGGTGTTAAGTTTTCTCCTCCATCCTCAAGCCCTTTAACGACCAATTAAATACACAACGCAATGAAACATTAGGTCTTTCACTTCAAGCTGCAGGAAAAACACAGTAGAATTTTTGGGAGCCATCCAACTACCCACGACTTAGCCAAAATAATTTGTACGCTTTTTTGCCGACACTGTAAAAATGCTTCTATATGAAAAATAAACAACTTAAACTATATATAGCTGTCCATTTATTACTGTTCATTATTATTTCCTATTCAACCCCACAACACAATATTTCCAAGAAAATTTGGACTTGTCCCCAAGTAATACACAACACATCTATTAAAAAAATATTGGAATTTGTCGCTCATACGGAGATTGGTATTCACTTTACTGCTAAAATTACGCCAGATAACTTCTTGGAAAGTAACAACCACTCCCTTACAATGATGTTGACCCGCTGTAGCCAGTATACTGTTAAAATCAGGCAGACAAGCTTGCGTTCTCTCCAGAGTCGTATATTAAAAAATATTGATGAAATTTACATTGAAGTCGCTACCGCTGTTGAGAAATATTTGGCTTGTCACGTTTTTCGATGATCATCATCAAGTCTGTTATGTTGGTAATGTCACATGGTTTGAACAAATTTGGTCTGTCATTTGAGGGTGTGTCACTTGGTGTTATCTGCTATCAGCACTTCACTTGGAGGTATCTACTACATTGTACCAGCTGGAATGCTGATCTTTAATTTGTTCATGTTGTTGCATGAATATTGCCACGAAAGAATCACTGCGGGAAATCATTGACAATCCAACTCTTCACTGCTCCAACGAGGGGTCATTCTCGTACAGAGCCTGTTTTATTTCTTGTCTCATAACAACACTGCTACCAGTTGTGGCTCTTCGTCTATGATGTGCCTCAAAACCATTTTTTTTAATAAATGATTGTCTGGGTACAACTGTGACATGCTCGGTCTCCCAGCGCTTGGTCGTTTGCCACCTCTTGTGAAACTTTTCTTACATGTGTGTGCATTATCAGTTGTTCATCTGGAGCCATGAGTATGGGAGACAACATTTAAAAAAGTAGTACCTTCCGAATAATCTTTTAAACATCCAGTCGTCGTGTAAATATAGGTCACTTGATGTAAACAGACGAAATACTCTTACTTATGATATGCCCTAAATACTAAAACCATCAATCACAAATGACCAAAAAAAATAAAAAATACTAAATATAATCAAAAATTTCAACGATAATTTTCTTGTTTTTAATGTACTGACATGACATGGCAGTGTTTTTCCCGGCATGTTTGCAGATGCTTGACTTCTAATATACTTGGATTGGGAAGAAAATATGATTGAAAACATAAGACAAGTTACAAAAACAGTGCAAGGTCTGTGTATGCCAAAAAGTATATCAGGTTTCTTCAGAAAAAAAAAAGGGTTCTGCCAGCTGCACAATGGTTCAGCAGTTGCATCTGGAATGGGTATTTTTCATGGTTAAATATTGTTAAACTAAAAACTTTGGGTGGGTTGGTTCATATTTGATGTCAAGCTGACTTGACAATTTTAGATCAGCCCAGAATTTAATTTGCCATTTTTCTATTGTAATAATGTTTTGTTTTGTCTTGTTTCAGTGAGAATATATTTGGTTACAAAAATTTGAAGATTCAACTGTATTACAGTGCCGGCTTATTAAATCTCTATTTGGGTAAAACTTGTAGTGAAAAGTTGGACCCAACAAGATTAGATAATATCCCGGTTAGTAAGATTTATTAGTATTTGATTTCAAAACCTTAATGTATTATAGTTGAACTGATTTAATTTATGAATATTGTTGTGAATTTTGTGATTCTTGGAAGAGAACAATAATTTATTGTGGAGCCCCTGAAGTGTCATCCCTGCGAAAAAACCTATTCACCACCAGTTCCCGCTTTTCATCACAAAATAATCTTGTTTATTGTCTGCACTTTCCTTCAGAAGATTGGGACAAAAATAGCATAAAATTTTGAGTAAAAACTAAAAATTGACTCAAAGTTTGTCTTTTGGATCCAAAATTATGGTTCATTTCCTGAAATATTGAAGAAAATAAGAACGAAGTATAAACTTAACAAATCTGGGCAAGAAAGTCTGGTGGTGAATAGGTTAAACCTTAAAGAAAACACCAATCCAAACAGCATAATGACCCCTAAAAAAAGGCCCCACAAATGTAGGAGAAAGCAATTTACAGTTTTTTTATATCACTTTTCATTCTCTAGATATCTAACTTTATATCAGTATTATGTAGTCAGCCATCTTGATTCTCAAGCAAAGGATTATGGGTAAAGTATGACATCATAGAATTTGTTGTCAGAAATTGAGAAAATTATTTCATCTATAACATGAGAAATACTGATGCGAATTAGTTCAAATTTTTGTTGTGCATATTACTCATGTATATAATTATAGTAATGAAAATTAAAATATTACAAATACATATAAAGTGAAGATATTGCTAAAAACGTTAAAAAAATAAAAATTGATATTTTAGTTGTGAAATATAGAATGACACTTTTTTGTCCCCTTTTTGTGGTCAACATGTAATATATCACCCATATAACCTACTCACATCGGTAAATTGTATACAATATAAGGAAATTTTAGCATTTGGTAGAAAAACATAAAAATGTATATTTTCAGTTTTGTTTCCATGACGACTATTTTATAAACATGGATGGCACCAGTACATGTATGCTACCGATTTTTAAACTTTCAGCCAATTTGAAGTTCAACTTTTGAAGTTATAGATCACATCATTTTCTCAATTTCTGACAACAGATTCTATGTCATACTTTACCCATAATCCTTTGCTTGAAAATCAAGATGGCTGACTACATAATACTGATGAAAAGTTGAATATCTAGAGAATGAAAAGTGATATAAAAAAACTGTAAATTGTATTTTTCTACATTTGTGGAGATTTTTCTTTAGAGGTCATTATGTTTGGATTGATGTTTCCTTTAATCAGTAATCAGTGTCTAGTCAAAGCCTCTGATAAAAGAACTAGAAAACCTGCATTTTCTCTTCAGAATGTCATTCTCACAAACTCCCTCAGCCATTTGGATCAACTTTTGTCATTTTTTCAATTGGAAATTATCTCCATTTGATTCAAAAGTATCAACAAAATTTTCAAAAAATATGTAAAATGTTTCAATTTAATGTTAGAGGAATGGCAAAAATTTAATTGTTCACATTTTTTGGAATATATAAGACAGCCTACTGATGAGTTGCAAGAATTTTGTTAATTTTCAAAAGGGGGAGGGTACCTTTTGGTTCTTCAAACCCAAATATTGAATTGAAATTCAAAAATGGCAAACTGATATTTCAATGCAGAAGAAAGTGAATGAATTTTGTCGTTGTCAGATCTATCAACATATATGACTGCATCCTCTGCTCAATTTTCATTCAACAGTTCAATTGCATGTCTAAGACTGGAAATTTATAATATAATTATATTCTAATAAAAAGCAATTCATTTGTTTCCGCAGGCTGATGATATCGCCAAAGTGATCATCGAGAAGCTTGGAGTACATCCAACTGATAGTCTTGATAAATTTCGATCAGAGCTGTCGAAAGAAGACAGCTTTACACCATTCGGTGATTTACTACATTCGTATTCGGTACATAAAAATGGTGAAGACACACAGTTTGAGATATATAAATGTGATACAACAACGCCTGGATTCATAAAATACCATGAAAGATTACAAACGTTCCTGTGGTGGTTCATTGATGCCGTTTCATATATTAACATTGACGATGATAGATGGATCTTCTATGTCGTGTAAGTAAACAGTGAAAGAAATCGAGTGCTTGCTTTCCAGTGTGGCAAAATTGCACCCATGGCATATTTTTGAAAAGTGGGCGGGGAACTGCAATAATTCACTAGTGTTTATGAATTTATTACTGTGGAATACTTTATTTTCGCTGGAATTAATTTTTTCGCTGAAAAGGCTTTTTGGGCATTTTGTATGGAATTTATTTTCACTGATTTTTGATGAGTTTAATGTGAAATATAGGAAAAAAAGTATATTCGCTAGATTTATCACGGAATCATCCCTACAGTGAAAATAGCGAAAATAAAGTATTCTACAATATATTTGAGTTTCGGGTCAGTTTGTACTTCTTTTTTCTATGCTATTTTATTTGTGGCATTGGATTTCATTTTGCAAGAGCATAAATTAAATTAATCGTATGTTTGTTCTTTGATTTAAAATTTGGTTGAAAAAAACAACATAAATATGTGATAATTGATTAAGTAGAAAATAGATTGAACCACATTTCCTGCCAAAATGTGTCTAATGCAACATTTTTCTGTGTTTTGTAAAATAAAAATGTTTTTGTTAGATTAATTTTGGGCTGTTTGGACACATTTTCATAGCCCTTAGGTCCTAATCAACATTATGTTGGGGGTAAGGTTAGATTTGACATTGATGTGCAAGGGTTCCGGTAGGCTTGATCAGTTCACCTGAAAACTGAGACAGAAATCAATTTTCAATGTTAGTTTGATTTGTGGTTGCCAACACGATTTTCTTTTTATCAGGGTTGTGTTCTACAATAGGAAATGTACCATGTTTCACTAGGAAGAGCAGGCGATAATGTAGTAGATCCATCTGCCTATTTTGTGTATTATGTTTTATTTTCACGTGTCTGCTGTTTTATTCGATAAAAATACATCTTCCCTATTTCCATTCTCCCGTGTCGTGTCATTTACAAAAAACTGCACACATTTTCTAATCTTGCGTGTTTGCATTCAAGATATTGTGAACTGCTTGACCACTTCATTGTTGTCTTATTATTACAAAAA